ACGAAAGAAGTTAGTAATAGGAATATTCTTCTTCGCAACAGCTACAAGAGCTAGTTGGAGTTGATGAGCAAAACAATGAATGTAAAAGGCACATGGATTCTCCTTTAAAATGAGTGCTTTTAGACCATTAAATTTATTTTGCATATTACTTGCCTCACCGTAACATTGTCCTCACAATCTAGACATGCTCAAATTATATCTAGAAAATACCTTATCAATTGCAGCCTTGAGTGATAGAGTCGTGGTACTTGTAACATGCTCAATTCTTATGAAGCGTTCATTCACATGTCCATTGTTATCTGAATAACGTAATACAATTAACACTTGCTCCTTCATTGACACATCACGAGATTCATCAACTAGAATAGAAAATAATGAATCTTCAATATCTTTAATAATAATATTGATTGTCTCAACAGTACAATAATTTACTATATCCTTTTGAACATCAGGTGATATCAGTTTGCAATTTTGAAGAACATTTCTCAATGTGACGACATTAATATCTTCATTATGAGAGCCAAAATTCTAATAGGACTAAGAATTGTCTGGATTGAGAGAATCCTTAAATTCATCGTGACCCCGAAATGAGTGCCCTTGTGGCAATAGAAGTCGAACACAATCAATAGATACATTAAGATGGATAACATACGCACTTCTTATTTGTTCTGACTGCTTGTAGAAAATTGATTGAATGTATTGCTCTTGATTCATCAAAACTTTGCACTTAATGCAAGCTTGATTATGTGCACTATCATGTTCTCCAACATGAGTATGAATCCTTTTTTTTTTAATCTTTCCAATATGTAAAACCTTCACCAACAAAAGACACGCCTACATCTTGCTTTCCAGGACTTATTTTGAAAAGATAACAATACAAACAATAAGCAGCATCGTTTTCTACACTGGACATGGACGGAGACGGAGTGGGTCAGGGGCGGAGCCCAATGAGGTGCTGGCACTAAACTTTTGTACCAACCCAATGGCCCAATTTTTATTTTATTTTATTAATATGCCCACTGTCAACCAAAAAATGAAACCCAAAACCATTACTAATAACATTACCCTAATGTAGACAGCCCAAGACCACTGCCAACCCAACCCAACCCAACCCAATCCAATCCAATCTATTTAATTCAAAACATCAGACAGTTTTACAGCTCCAGCTTCCATTTCAATTCATCGCCTCCTTCACCTCCATCTCTGCCTCAAGTCATAGCTGAAGTGCCCTTATCATAACACCCACTACCCACCCCTTTACTCCATCTCCGTCCTTATTTCGTAGCTGCTTTGTCGCCTCATCCCTTACTCCATGAATGTTCCGTAGCAAGCTGTTCGACTTCAAGCCCTAAATCAATCGATCGCTACTTCGCCTCAGCGCCGACGATTCTTCATGCTTCGACAATCGACAGCAGGATTAGGTGAAGCCCTTGACCAGTTGACCTAGAACCCAGTCGACTTATGCAGTTAGCCCTTTCCTTTTTATGTTGATTTATTGATTTTGTTCTAATGTTTGTATTTTTACTTTTTAACGTCTGAAATTAGCACTTTACACTTCAATTTCTTGAAGCAATTGATTTGGCAATTGGCTACCAGACTTCCTTCCAGCTTGCCTTTCGGGCTATGACTGTAAGTCATTGCCTTCTTTGTCAATGCAATTTTTAATTTTCCGAAGTGTGAATTACATAAGTTCTGAACGGAATATTGC